CTCTTTGAACATAAATAGTCTCTAATTTTTTTCCTATTCAACTTTTCAGAATTATTCATGGCTATGCAATATAGCCAGGGCCAATTTCTACATCAATACAATGGTCAGCAGAACTCAGCTCTCAGTGGAAGGAGTGAAGAGCCATAGAGACAGTGCTCATTTATCTTCCATTGTTTTAAATGATATTCATCACATAAAAGAGCCCTGTAGATACATGATATTGTATTTGCACTGATTTTGGCAAAATTTTGTAGGGCTAGCTGGAGAGATAGCTTAAAATACACAGAGTAGCTTCAAGGTAGATAAGAATCAAATTCCTGTTTTTTAAATGAGTGCACTTACTGTGCAGATCATTCCTAAGGTAATAGAATCCTACAAATATTTAGGTTCTGTACTTGATGCAGCAAGATAGAAGTACAGCCAGATGGTTTGCAGGGTATATTTTTTTTTTCCTCTTAATTTTACCTACTACTTTTCCAATGGAACACTAGCAATCCAACTTTGCTGCGGCAAAAGGTGACTTCAGTATGAATTACTGAAACCTTTAGAACACATGGATGAAAGCTAGTTTCTAGGTTTTAAAAAAGTTAACAGGCTGTATTGAAATTTTTTTTTTTAAATTTGCCTCAATGATAACTCAATTGTTACAGTGACCAAAGTGTAACCACTTTCCCAAATTAAGTTTGTAATGGATAATGCAGAATTACTCAAAGATTACCTTTGTAGGAAAGTCTGTAAAGAAAGAAAAAACACAGAAACACACAATAAAAAGCAAAAACACAGTAAGTAATCACTTGTAATATATAAGGTATGATGTGTGAACTTAAAGCTGTTTCATCAGATCTCTTTTAAAGGCCATAGAAATATTTTAGTGTTAAACACTGCACCAGTGTTCTCCTCAGATCTTTATGTTTTTCTGAGAAATCCTCACTGTTAGTTGTTCCTCTAAAAATGTCTGCAAATATTATACCAGCCCAGAACTGCTGGCACACTGCAGAACTTAAGGAAATCACTCTGTAAAATCACAGACTAACTAAGCTTGCTAATTAGTTTCTGTTAAGTCTGGGATACACTTATCATATATTAATTTTCTGTACATGGGAATAGTTTAAGTAGGTCCAATCCTATTCATCCTCCACCAGCTGAAGGGATACTGAGGCACTGTTCAAGCTTCTTTTGAGGAGCTTACCTCCTGCCTAGCACATTAAATTGGTAAAACAGTAATTATCTTAACAAACACACAAGCCACTGAGCTCACAGAAGTTAAAGACCACAGTAAAATAATATCATTTCCTGAGAGAAAGGAGGAAAATGCAAAAAAGCCCCACTATCAGCAAGATAATGACATTATAATTGGCCTCTTTTCAGGCTAAGCTGAACAAAGAGCATGCTAATAATGCCACAATGATTACCAACCAAAGTATGTCTGTTAAATTTATATTTGTATAGTATCATTACTTCATACTAACAATGAATAAATATTATTGCATTTACAATGTTATTATAAGATAGTAAACCAAGGAAAGTTTTCCAAACCACTAAATTTGTTGAACCTCGTAATATTGGCATATTCAGATTTAACAAACTGTTACAGACTCACATCAGACTTACTGAGCTTTGATCCAACTTAAGGAATCCACCAGATTTAGAAACAGGCAATTTTAGCCACTCTAAAACTTGGACATGAGGGATGGGGCAACAAATAATCTGCTGGATTGTGAAGGATATCGGTTCTTTTGTTCAGCATGTTACCTGATGGTTTGTAACAAACTGTTCTCCAGTACACAGACAAAAGTAGTGCTGAAGATGAAAGATCCTACAACTCAATCTCTTTGCAAATGACAGCAACAGTTACAGTTTTCCTGACAGATGAGGTAGCAGAACTGAGAGATCTTAGCTTTGTGCACAATGGCAGAATCCACGACTTTTGACTTCATTTAGCCCAAAGTAAGTAGAATATGCCTCATGGAACATTGCATGACAGATCTACTCAGAACTTCTGCACAGATTCTTCCAGGAGTTTAAAATCTGACATGGTGACTGAAGCACGTTGATAATCTTGAAGGGATGTTGCCCTCAGCACACATTTAAATTGCAGATCCCTGAGTACACACACAGTTCTCTCTCCCATAAATAACAGGACATGTTTCCTGCATTGTGAAGAAGACTGAAGAAGTCCAGCAACAGGAGAGAAAGTGCTCGAGACAGCTCATCCTGGTTTGCTGCTTCCCCATGCTCAGGCTACCCTTGCAATTGAAGGGGACAATATTCCTCATGGCCTTACAAGAACAATATGCTGCAAGAGAGAGACACCTGGCAGGGAGGGAGAACTAGAAATTAAAGTGAAAAGGAGAAAAACAACACTGGACATAATTTGAGGGCACAGGCAGTGAAAGTGCTCAGACACAATCACAAGCAATGACTAATTTGGAGACTAACATGAGAGTCCATGAAAATAGCACTAGTGCCTCATTGAACATTGTTTTTTTCTTCCTCCAAATCTGCCTTAATTTGTAGTTTAATAACAAAAACTACAGCTCTCTGTGCCTTATTCAAAAGAGTTATGACATGCATTATGAGCAGCAGCATTAGCCTTTCACCTTCTACTATTTACTCATTTAAGGTCCTAACCCTACTGATTAAGTAAAGCCTGGATTACTTAATGAAGGGAGCAACAAGCATTTTACAGGGAGATATGAGATCAGTATCACTCAGGAGACTAGAGAAATTTGGAGACCCTTGTTCACATCTATTACACAGCAGCTCCTGCTAAAACTGTCAAAAAAAGGGTAAGAAAAGCCTGATGTTGGCTTTCCTAAGATTGCCATCAGAATATTAACCCTTCAACAGACAAATTTAAAAGACTGAAAGTAGTAACACAGTGTCAGAAATACTGGAATGAGTTGGCAAAAATACTTCAGGTGCTCTCATTCAAGTAAGAAAGCAGTTTCCTATTAAAAAAAATAAAATCAATATTTGTGCACAGGTTTATATATTTCTGTAGAAGTAAGAAGATGGAAAAGGAAATCTTATGCCATCAAACCTACACATCTGATACTAGAAGCAACCAGATCTGATAATTTGCTCATAAATGGCTTAAAAATCACTCTAAAAATAGAGGGCTCAAATATGTACTATTAAATGGCTATTCAAGAATCACAGTGGAAGTTTGGTTGGAAGATTTTTTATTTTTAATCTGAATTTCTTAAAGCCAGTTCATTCCCATTTGGTTTCATCTTTCCTTTTAAATACGATTTTATCTTTGAATGCATTTCTAGAAAGCAAACACATGTTCCCAGCTTCTAATTTGCAAGACTTGACAAGCAAAATTCTTCAGATTCCTTTTATGAAACTATATAGTTTCTAGGCTCCTGCTTTGAATAGATTTGTAGTCCCTGTGAAATTATTTTTTTTACTGAAAGACTTGATATCATGTCTGATATCAAAACAAAGTCTAACAGTAATTTTGAGTGATATTAGTACAACCTTAGCTCCAGCAGATATCTCATTTTATACAGTCTAGGACTGAGATTCCTGCTTTCATCACCACATCTTACTGGCAAAGGCAGTCACAGTCATCTCAATCAACCAGCATATGTTGGTTGAGGTCCTCCTCCTATTTTTTTTTTCCATAAAATAAACTACAGGTTGTTGGAGGCTTTCTAGTTCTCAACCCCCAAATGCATACCACTGAGATTTCAATTACTCTCCCCCTTTCTGTCAATACTTAAAATCCACTTCTAATTCTCTACTTTCAAAAGTACCCTTTGTCATTACTGCTTTGTCTAATCACTAGTTTTATGCATTTCATAGTAAATACCATGTATATAATCACTGAACTTCCTTTGTTCAGAGGGAAAGTGATAAAGTAATGTTGTTTGGCCTAGAGAATGATATATTATTCATTACTGTGCATCTTTGGCAGGTTCATGTATTGGCATCTCATTTCCAGTTTTATTCTAAATCTTTAACTACTCCTAACTAGAAGGTCTTCCCTTTCCTTTCCAATTCAATCTTATTCCACCCTTTCTCACTTCTTACATACAAACATTTTATTCTGCTATTTTACACTTGGAGTCACTATAAAATTTTTTTTAGTAAGTTCAGCAGCCTAAATAGAGTATTTTTCCTGCCTTTTGTATGTTGTGCTTTGCTTCTATCTCAAACACACATCCTTCTCTTTCCATTCACTTTACAGAGCCAAAACTATGTGGTTAGTGTTCCTGGCTGCATTTCATTTTCCTTTGTGCAGGTGTTGAACCAGAAAGCCAGGGTAACTGAAGGTTTAAATGCAAACAAAGCAGATTCAATAATTACAACCAACATGAAAAGCCAAACTCACACCGTATCTGCATTTCAAGCCACCTCTAAAAACAAAGACTCAGGCTGTACTATCACTTTTTCCATCATGCTTTGCTCATGATGGCATTGTGTTTTATCATAAAACATTTTGAGGTAAAAATGTTTTCACAAGAGAGTCCAGTGTTTTTCTGCTGAAAATGGGAATTCTGAGCCACCTTGTTATAAAGCATATTTTTCTGGAATGCCTGAAATGTAATATGGCATCAGCTTCTGGGTGATAATCATGGATACCTGAGGGCTGTAACATAAGCAGTAAATGTGAGCCACCAACTTAAAATGGGATGAAGAAATCACTCCTTAAAACTGAAATTAAATTTCATCTCTGGCTTCAGTGGACTTTGCATGAGGCTTGGGTATGAGGCACTCATGATTCTTTTGACAAATGCTTAAATTCCCCAAGGGAAAGAATCAAGGGTAAGGAATTTTGAGAACAACATAATCCCACACCGGAACTGAGAAGAGACGAGCAACTGACTGAAAATTAATGGAGAATGTTCTTGGGAACCTGATGGCTTAGCATCATCTTGAAGTAAAAAAAATCAGCACCAGAATCTGTGCTTCCCTAGGATTCCAGGATTCAGTAACTCCAGGATTCCATGACCCTGGAACCTCACCAGTCTAGGACTGTCTCCAGGGCAACAAGAGAAGGTTGGTACTGGAGGGAGGTGCTGCACCCACTGTTCAGAGGCACCTGCTGGTAAGTGACCTTCTGCCAGCCCCTCGGGTTCTGTCAAGGTACCTCCAACATCTCCAGGCCTTCAGCAGCAGAGGGACAGCCTGACAAACTGACAAACGCTCTCTTTTGAGATTTAAAACTCACGTGAACAAGTGATAGCGTGTGAGTTCCGTAGCACCAGTTCCTTCACGGTGCTTTATCGCTCCCAGCAGAGGGTCCTGCTGTATCCAGTCTGCCCTGAGCCACCCTGAGGCCTGAGAGCAGCTGGGCAATGTCTCCCTCATCGGCCTGACACCAGCTTGTTAGGCCTCTCCTCTCCTCCTCCTGCTCGGGGGACTTTATTTCCTCTTTCATCTAAAATTCTGGATTTCTCCCTCTTCAAACATGGCCATTTCTGTTTTGTCTCCGTGTGGGTCACACCTTTCCTCACCTTCCCCATCAGCACGTGCTGATGGAGCCTCTGGGCAGCTGAGTTTGGAGCTTGCAGCAACAGGCAAGCACTGAGGACTGCCTCTGGCCTTCAGCTTTTTTTCAGGGCTAGGAATGATGCAAAAGTTTTATTCCAGTGTGAAGCCTCTTTTTCTTTTGAGAATCTGAATCTTGGGTTACACTATCGTTCTGTTTCAAAGAAGGAACTGCCATGGGAGTCTTCTGGGTGCTCCTTTTGCTGATGGCAGCTGTTGACATCAACCAGCTGCTCCTCACTGAAGGGAAGGGAATTGTTTGTGAGAAGGAAAGAAGGGAAGAAATCCATCAGAGGCTGAAGGAGAAGGAGGCGAGCCTTTGTCTGCTGTACTCACACTTGAAGAAGGAAATTTCAGACCTAGAAGCCAGGCAGGAGGCTCTGACAAAACCTGCATTGTCACCAGAGAGAAAGATCCAAGAGTGCATAGGCGAAGTCCTTTTCTTGGCTGTCATCACACTGTTTAGGTTCTGGGGATAGCATTTGCAGGAAGTCACTTGTCAGCACACTGGAGAAGAGACTGACACACAGTATTTCTGGGGAAAGCATGGAAAGGAGTGGCCTTCCCTGCCAACACGCTTTGTGCTAACTAGGGGCATTCACATCCACGTGGGCAGAACTGTAGCAAATCTCTGTTTAGTTAAAAGGAGACTGGTTCCATTACATTTGAAATTTCTTCGGTCCACTTGCAGAAACTTTGTGCTTTAATGTATTAAGAATTTTCTCTATTTTTTATCGACTGTTATAAATCCTAGAGCTCCATTAATGAAATAAAACAGATTAAAGCAAAGGAATAAACGAAATAAGCAAACAAAAGGAATTGTTTGCTTGCAACCAAGCGACTTCATTTCATCTTTTGACTCTGGCATTTTCCTTGCTATGTGCATTACTGTTACAGGCCAAACTACAAACACCATAGAAATAGAGACCACCTTTGCAAAACAATACTATGGATGTGCAGCACTTTACTATGCTAGATGGATGAGAACTTAGAGGAAGATTGTTCAGAAAGAGGTAACAGATATTTTGACTAGAAATAATAGAAAAATGAGTTTAGCACTGTTTCCTCCAGCAATAATTCAGACAGAGTTGTTTGTTTACAATGAAGTCTTCTACTGTCAATCCAATGCTGGCAAAAATAGAAAAGATTAGAAATAGATAGAAATAAAGATAAGAATAGAAAGAAAGATGAGTAAATAATAAAAAAGCTTACATATGTTTAAAGCTGATGACTTAAACAATGATGACAAGCCATTCCTAAAATGAACATTAAATCTCAAAAACATACAACTTTAGGAAGGAATTGTAGGAAATACTTTCCTCAGTGGTATCAATGGATTTTCCTACCCTTTGCAGTTAAGTAAGGATTTCACTCCTTGAGTGTACTAATGGACATTTGAACGCATAGCGAATGCTTAGAACCTCCAGAGTTTGGAAGGTGCACCATGGGATGCAAGAAAACACTGCCCAGGCATAGTGTAGGTTGTACATCTCTACAAACAAAGGAGAACTTGATAGAATTTTTTCCAACTTTGATTTCTTTCCATTCCATAAGCAATGCTCTTCACAGAATTCACTTTTCAAGAACAAATACAACACACGTGATGTGGAATGTGCATAAGCAATGAGTATTGCACCAAGGTGGCCAGAATGGTGTGAGAACCACCACCCAACACTGAGACACCCAGGCAAATCTCTTTTTCCCATGGGTCTGGACTGACCATACAGGTTCAGTAACATAATATGCTCTTCCCACAATGTTTTCTGAGTAACTCTTGTTCAAGGTTGTAAGCTTTGTGCTTTATTTCATATCAGAAAGAAAAATGCAGTATTTTTCTCTTTTTGCCCTACTTGTCTATACAGACATGATGGGAGGCTGTACACAACCAGACTTTTATTTACTGAATTTCTTGTGTGGCTTTCCAGCCACAATAATGTTACTCAGAGCAGAAGACCAATCTAGTGGATACATTCAAGCAGAAACTTCAAAAGTAGAGCTCTACTCTTTGCTTTCCTACCAATACTATGAGAAGTTTTATTACCTCCTGCCATCCTTCTCTCTGGCTAAACTCTCTTTGCTTAGCCTAAGTGACATTTCCTCGGTTTTGCACTGAGCATTGCACAGTGTTCTCATCTTGATTGGAGCTTCCAGATGCTACTGTAACACAATGGTGAAGAAGACCAAAAAACTAAAGTTTTTCCAAGCAAGAAACTCTAAAAAGAGTTCTGAGAGCCAAATAGGAAAAGCAAAAAGGAAATGAATGGTTATTTTTACTACCATAGAGTTGCTTTTGAATGGTGGACAACAGCTGAAGTGTGAAGAATGCCTGAACTAGAACACTCTCATTAAAATATAAAATCCAAAGCAATTGGATTCCAAGAGCTGAAATAGACAAGAGGTCAGGAGGGTCCTTCACAAGACTGAATGAGGTGAAGAAACAAACACAGCCTGGTTTCCTGGCAAAAGTAAAGATGAGTGGGTTAGAAATCCCACAGATTGCTCATTCCTGGGAAATAATTCATTAGCGAGGACTTTTCACCTCACTGCTGTTCACAGCAACTTGTAATATCAAGTGTAAAAAGAGGAGCAAGGGAGCAAATCTGGCTGCCAAGAGCCCCATTGCACAGGTGTCAATCTCACCTTCACAAGGGAGCAAGTGAAAAGAATTACAAACCCCTGAGGACAGAACCGAGTGGCTTTTACACAGACTGAGAGAATATTACAAATGATGACAAAAAGAAAAGACACAATAAGAATTCCTTCTTTTCCCCCCTTCCTAGTGAGTAGAAGGAAGCAGAATATCTATTTATTCCTCTTCATTTAGCAAGAGCAGGGTTTGGATCACTGTCAGCGAATCTCTGGCACAAATGAGCTATCCATGATTCATAAGGGCATGCAGGCTCCACATTCTGCAGTGCATTAAAAACAGAATAATGTTGTTTCCCCCCAAAAAAATAAAAACAAAACCCAAAACCCCAACATCATTCTGGTATTATTTCTCAAAAATAAGCCAATTATCCCTCCTTAATTATTTATTTAGCAATAATAAATGCTTAGTGGCCATCAAAGAACCTGGAAAACAGCTAACAGAGTGTAAAAGTGTAGTCAACACCATTGTTTTGCAATAATACATCCCAGGTTCAATTAATTGGCCTCCAATTGTCACCAAATATGAGTAAATGGAAGTTTTATGGGAGAAGCAGTATTTTGCATTAAAAAAAACAATGAAAGGATGAGCAGAACTAGGTTTTTGACCTCTTATAATCCCTTATGATACCTCACAGCACATCAAAAAAATTGGATTCGAAAATATATCAGAAATGGGAACAAGGAAATATTGCATCATATTAAATCTGTTATTGTCATCAGCTTTAGCTAAAGGAATTTATTTCATACAAATTACTGTGAGAATTTCCTCACAAATGGAAAATACATGCATGAAACACACACAATATAAAGCCACTTGTTCACCGAATATTCTCTTATAGCTTCCCTTTTGCACCGAATATTCTCTTATAGCTTCCCTTTTGCAGCCTGTATTATGAGAATAAGGTCTTCTGAGCTAAAAAAGCTCTGATTTGTCTGATTAAAAACTCTCTCTGCTGCCATCATGTAAACAGAAAATAAAATAACTGACTTCACTATATAGAGAAGCAAATAAAGTAGATGCAGTTTTCTATGTGATTTCTATGTTCTACTGTTATCTGAAGTGCAAGGATAAATCAATTTAGCTTTATTAAAGACTTTTCATCACTTCATATATTTTCAAAGCACCTGCTCAACAGCATTTCAAGCTTAAATTCTCAAGCAAGATGTACTTTTCTGTAGTTGTCACTAACAGAAAATATTCAGGCAGCAATCTCGACACTAACTTGGCACATAGAGTGCAAGCAAAAAGATGTGTAATTTAGATTCCACTTCTCACCTGACACCTGTTCCTGGAAGGACTCAAACAACTTCCTGAAACCCAAATACTAAATTTAAAACAACTTGCAGGCTTAACACTGTGTATTTTGGACCATCTCTAACTCGGAGGGAAATGTAGTTTCTCTCTCTCTAGTGTCCCCCTCCCACAAAATTTTTATTTCACTAAATTCATTCTTAGACTGGACATTATCCAACTAAAAGAAAAACAGCTGAACCTTCTTTCTGAATTCAGAAGACAAAATCCAATTATGCAATTCCTATCTGGGGAAAGATCCATCATTCCTCTTCAATATACTGCAGAAGTTAATAATTTGAATAGACACACTCTTCAAAAGGTATTGATAGGTATCTCTGATCGTCAAACCAAACAAGATAATGTCTCTGATTTCCTGCCTCTCACTACTGAAGGCAAAGACCACCCACTTCCAGTGGAGAGCAGAAAAGAAATACCAATGAACTTATTTAAGGCTGATCAGAAAACACACATCAAAAACAACAAAGAAAGCATGAGCAAAACAAGAGCAGTTCACCACAATTTCACACTTTAAATTTACATTCAATTCTTAATGTAGGATGCAGGGGTGGACGGGAATCCATGCTACATGCTGCAAACTTACTCCAGCTGGATCGGTACAAGTATCATTAAATATCTTCTGTCTGAATTTTGTCAGATGTGTACTGACAACAAAAGTTGTGTCCTTATGTTTTTTGATTTCCCACCTTTTTTTACACCACTGCAACCCCACAGACATCTGACCTGAACTTGGAAGTTTTGATGGGTTGAGGTATTCCAGACTGCCCTATTCAGGTCAAAGTCTCATAGTGAGGTTTTGAACAGCAATATTAATAAAAGTGTCATTAGTTCCATGAGACTGGAGAGGGACTTTTCATGGCTCTTTCTCTAGCCATGAAATATCACCTTTGTATCACAGCGCTATTGATCTATTAAATGTATGGTTGGATTTTGCACCAAACATAACCTTACTGGAACTAGATTTTCTTGTGTTTTACAGCTGCCTGGAATGATAGCTGGTGATAGCAGGAGTGAAATCATGACAGGGCACATGCAAATGAAGCCATTATGTTATTTGTGTCCATACACACACAGTTGAAATCAAATGTCATGATACTTCTCAGAAAAAAAGTAACTACCAGATGCATGAGACCACAAACCCCATGCCAAAACTCTGTTTAATATATCAGATCTATAAGTGTCTGGCTGTTTTCTGAACAGTTTTATTGCTTCTCTCTTTCTCTATCCCATTCTCCCCTC